TATATTATATACTTTTCTTTTTGCTTAGGTATTTCTTCATTTAATTTCTGATTTTAATGAAATATTCAGTCTAATATCATCAAATATCAGTCTTTATTATAATTCTAAACTTATTTTTTAATATTTTAAATAAATTTTTTACTACCTTTCTGTACTGCAGCAATAGAAGCCGGTCCGCACCTGTATACTTGGTCACTTGTTTCTTGAGGAGTGGCGTCGATTATTTGCCAACCGCCGTATCCAGGGGGCAGGTCCGGCCTGGCCATCCAGACGTCGTTCCACACATGGAAATTCCAACAAGAGTCTTTGCAATCCACCTCTTCGCTTTCTTCAATTTTGTTGCCAAACATGTCAAAGAATCTGGAGAAGGAATAGTTATTTATTATACAGGATGGCCTGAATTCGATTTTTATGTCAGTATGACTCTGACTTTTTTTAATTGTTTTAAAGAACATTAATTTTTCGTCCGTACCTGTATAAAACTACTGCGTGATAAATATACATTTCCATCTACAACAACCGTTCTCAAGATATTTGGAATCAAAATAATCAGTACAAGTCATTATTGACAAAAAGTAAATAAGTTGACTGAAATAATAAATTTGGAAACAATTTTATAAATTAGTCATAAATTTTTCCAGAACTGTTTATGACAAATGAGTTCCAAATTTATTTTTTCAATCAAACACCTATCAATACAGCTGGTTCTATAAATAAATACTAAAGTATTCAATAAATATACTTACTTATCAACTGTCATTGATCTGTTGGTATCATGAGCGGAAACATAGTTCGTTGTGGATCTACAGGGTATTCCCAAAGTCCTGCACACAGTTACTGTAGCGCCGGAAAAGACCCAGCATTGTCCGTATTTGACTGGGTTGCCTCCAGATTGGAGAAACTGGTCCATGATAGCATGAGATCCAGTCCAGGCAAATGGTGAGGTTCCATCTTCGTAGTTGCCATCCCAGCGACCTTCCACAAGACCATCATCATCAACAGAATTCACCTTAAAAAAATATTTTTTTTGTATGCATGTGTGTTTCTCTGTTTATCTTAAAGATCGTTTAGTAAAGACTGATGTTAATTTTGTTTTAAAATACTATGTCTCAAAAAATAATAAGTATCAACCACAATCTAGTATTTCTTAAATTCTTTTTTATTTTTTTTTTCCTTTCTTGAACAACTTTTTAATTTACCTACTATACTGTATAGAATTTAATTCTACTAAGTCCAGTATCTAAGCAGATTCCATTCATTACTGCATTTGTTTGGTATTTTTTCAACGAAAAACTTGATTTTTTTAAATAAACAAGTCGTGTCTAATCCCTGAACTTTGTCACTAAGAATACATAATGAGAAATAAATACAAAAAATATGTCTAGGATTTAAAAAATCTCTCTTACAATGTATTGTTTTTATTTATTTTTAGCATCATTATAGCATTAACAAATTTAAATTTAATTAAAGTATCCAATTTTTATTTTCATGATAACTTTAATTATTAAATAATATTAACTGTTTTAGTTTATCAGCGGTTTAAGATCAGTTTTTGGCAAAAGAGTAACTTTTACCAAAATAATAATAATAAGGTAATAATCTAAATTAAAAGATATCTAAACAATTTGATAAAATTACATTATTTCGTGAAACTATGCAAAAATATTAGATTTGTAAAAGTCGCTTTTTAAACATGAACTGAAATATATCCATAATATTGTTTCCAAATTTACTTATATAAGGTGTCCCAGAAATAAGTGCAAGTATTTTAACTGGTAGTATGAAGTTTTTTTCACGAAAATTTTTTTTTAAAAATTCGAAATTTTTTGAAAAATTTTTTAGTAATTTTTTTAGTTTTTAAAAATCATAATTTCTTGATAATATGGCAACACAGGTAGTAGATTAAATTTACAAGAAAGAAAATCCAGAAAAGATCCAGTGGTTCTCAAAATTTGAACAAAAAAGTCATTTTTTTGGAAATTTTCAAAGTATAACTTGGTTTTTTTCGACTTATTTGAACGATAAAGAGAAAATATGTTTCTTTTATCGAGATCTACCACCCATTAAAATACTTGCACTTATTTCTGGGACACCCTGTATATATTCTTCAGTTAACTGAATATTGTATAATATGACTGAACAAATAAGATGCAACATTATGTGTAGAGGAGACCTTAACAACTTAGCAACTATGCCAATATGTGTTTTAAATCATTTCTTTGAAGCATGAAGGTTTATAAACAATTTAATGCTCTTAAATAATTTTAAATAAAATAACATGGAGATCTGTAAAAGTCTATAAAATATAAATAGACAGTAATGTGGTATCATCTCTGTTTAAACACATAAAAAATTATATCAGAAACAGTTATGATTTAATTGAAATAATATATTTTTGTATATAAACAAGTTATTGATAAGTTCTTCGCAGAAATGGTGCTCTATTGGTTATTAGGATTCAAGGTCTAACTAACACGCGGATTTCTATAAAAAAACTGTTTTTTTTTTGGCCATCCTAATTTAATGTTTGGTATTTTGATTAACGATCTACTGGTCTTAAAATAATATCTGTTATATAATAGGGATATAGAATTAAATATGTGTTACCAGTGCTGTATTAAAAACACTAATGTTTAATCAAGGAGCCTTGGAAAAATAGATTTGATCGTCTAATGTTTTTCGTGTCTTGTCCGAGCCGGTTAAATGATGCCCGAATCGTATTTTTCATCATATCTCAATTTTTTTCAAATGGAACAACGGTGGCTCATTATCATAGATATTTAGAAAAAGCATTTTTTACTAATAATTTGATACCACAGACTTGGTATTTCGAATCAAATTGTCGTTATGAACTGCATGTTACAATTTCAAACAAACCATATTGCGAAAATGTCAAAATTTGACATATGATATGCCATTCTAGTCAGAGTGTCATTTTCTATCATATAAAATAAAAAAATACCGAGGGTGTCATTTAAAAATCAAAAGTTGTAGTCATTTCCGGTGAAACATGAAGTGACCGAAAACAATTGACTACGTCAATCGATCCTGATTTATGTCATATACTAACGTACAAAAAATCGTTTTTTTTATCTAAAATAATAAAAAAGTTATAAAGGTGAGCCACTTTTGAGAAACACCCGGTCATGGCTGGAGTTGCAAATTAATAAAACTGTGTGATTATGTTTTTCTAATATACTTACTATTGCTGACAATGCCCTGGCAATCATCACAGGATTACCCCTTTCCGAATGAGGCAATCCAGACTTTTCCAGTAACAACATGGCGGATGGTAAAACTATGTCGTCGAATTGTCCAAACACCCAGTGTTTTCCGGTTGGTTTCTTGAACGTTCCGCACCATATTTTACCCACTTCGTTCAACACGTATTCCTTTATTTCTTCCTCTTTTTCCATGTAGACTCCATCGTGGCTATTCCATGGGTTGAAAATGATGTAGATCTCATCTGGAATCTAAAAAAACACAGTAAAGTAAGTAGAATGTAGAATATGTAGTAGGGGAGATAATCACCGAGACCTTACAGATCTATTGTATTTTATCTACCGTCAGTGAGTTAAGAGCTTTACACGAGGCTTTGGGCCTTAAGCTAAACATCGACAAAACCAAAATCATGTGCACTCCCCCGGAAGATCACAACAATGCTATAAAAATCGAAGAATAACTATTGGAATATGTAGCAGAATTCAATTACCTTGGCATTTTGATTTCGGAAAAGGCCAATATAGACTCTGAAATTCAGTACAGGATTAGCAGTGCGTCAAGAGCATTCTGGCAATTAAAAGACAGAGTTTTCTACAATCATAACTTGAGTACAAAAACGAAACTTGCAGTGTACTGAGCAATTATAATCCCCACCATGTTATCTGGGAGCGAAACCTGGGTGCCGTACCGCCGACACATGAACGCATTAAACAAATTGCAACAGAGACACCTTAGACAAGACTCTTAAGAATCCGGTGGTTCCATCATGTCTCAAACGTATGGGTCCTTGAAAAAGCTAACTGCGAGAGTATTGAAGTCATGGTTACAAAATCCCGCTTAAGATGGGCTGGTCACGTATGCAGAATGCAAGAAAAACGCATACCAAAATCTCTGCTTTACGGTGAGCTTGTAGACCATAAAAGGAGACCGGGTAGACAACTCAAAAGGTACAAGGACATTTTCCACGAAAACTTAAAGGGGATTAACATGCAGAATGAGTGAGAAGAAGCAGTTCAAATAGAACTCAATCGAGAAGAATTGTAAACTCAGTTAACAGCGACAACCAAAAAGTAAAGAGGCAACAAAGCAATGAGATTTGAATGTCCGGAGTGCGGTAGGCAAATAAACTCATTAAAGAAAACGCCTTGCGTGACCATCTTCTGATGCGTGTCGAGTATTCGTCAGCGAGTAATGGCAGTATGTATGTATGTGAATGGACACCTTTATTCTTTGGTGTACATTGGCTTTAAATACACTGTAGCTATACTTACTTCGTAATCATTTCTTCTGCCTTTTTCGCCAGCTATGTTGGTCTGTAACGAGCATTTCCAGATACCAACAGGAGCATGAGGAGAAACACGCACCTGGACAGCGATGGTATCACCATCAACGCGGTTCAAACTTATCGACCATCGGTTTGGATCTTCTATTGAACGTTTCTTTCTCGGGTTGATGGGCAGAATCACTCTGGTTCCTTTTACAACATTTGGTTTAGGTCCTGACAAAGAAAAAACAAATTTAGCACATTCTTGACTGCGTCCAAATTTTGATTCCCTTGAAAGTGTCCAAATATACGTTTTTTTGCGGCATAAATTTCTGTGTCTTTTTTTACGTTAACTCAGTTAGGTTTGATTTTTTCACAGCTTCAAAGGACAAAAAAAGTGGCTCACAGCTATTACTTCTTTATTTTTTGAGATAAAAAATCGAGATTGAACATAAATTAGGATCGATTGACGTATTCAATTTTTTGGAAATCAATTGGAAATCACTATAATTTATGATTTTTAAATGACATCCTCGGTATTTTGTTATTCGATAGAAAATGAAACTCTGAATAGAATGACATATCATATGTCAACTTTTGACATTTTCGAATATGGTTTATTTTAAATTGCAATATGCAGTTCAGAACGACAATTTGACTCGAAATACCAAGTGTGTGGTACCAAATTATTCGTTAAAAAATACCTTTTCCAAATATGCTAATAAGCCACCCTTGTTCCAATTGAAAAAATTGAGATATGACTATGAGGAAAATACGATTTGGGCATCTTTCAACCGGACAAGACAATACATTAAAAACATTAGACGTTCAAATCTATTTTTCCAAGGCTTCTTGATTTAAAATTAGTCTTTTTAACACAGCCATGACACTCTAGATTGAAATTTAAAGCACAATTTTGTTTTCAGCGAAAATGTCAAAAGTTGGCATGTGATATGCCAACTTTCTATTCAGAGTCATTTTCTGTCAAATAGACACATCATTTAAAAATCAAAAGTTGTAGTCATTTCCGGTGAAACAGGAACTGACCGAAAAGAATTGAATACGTCAATCAATCCTAATTTATGTCATAAATATACCAAAGCTCTTATAGGGCTGAGCCACTTTTGAGACGTACCCGGTATATAAAAAAATATTCAGAAAAAACATATTCTCTGATTCCACATGTTTTATTCCAAGTTATACAAATAGTGAATTAATTGAAACAGAGACATAGTTATTATTTTAATTATTATTTACAAGAAATCTTAAGAAAAATCATATAAATCGCTGCAGGTATAGTAAATTAAAGGGAATATTGTATAAATGATTTTGTATAAAATGATTATAAAATTGTGTAAATATACTTATTGATATGTGCATATTATGTTTAATTATTGTTGTGACTGGTTTTTTGGGCAGTAGTTTTTTCGTTTCAACTATAATTTTATTCTATTTATATTACAAGGTGGTCCATAAGCACGAGCAAGTCCAATATCGTCGTTGTTGATATAAACAAGAGATATAAACAAATTTTAATATAAATGTTGCATGGTTTATAAAGGCACATCTCACAAAAATATTTTGTTTTACACAGGGTGTCCCAAAAGAAATAATAATGAAGTTTTATTTGTCTTATTTATATATATTATTTAACGGAGGAAAAAGATTAAACGGCTCAGCCCTCAACAACTCGTAACCGTATACACCAGTGTACACCAGTGCAGACACGCACACCCACACACTCACACAACCACACCTACACTAGTACACACTGATGTAACTGCCTTCCAGGCTTCATCAGTACGGTAAGGGTATTCAGGAAGCGAAGAAACCGATCCCCAAATCACAAAATCCAGGAAGCAAACGATGCAACGAGGCACCGTGTGCAACCCAGGAGATGGAAAAAAAATGATGAAGAAACGAAAATAAATGATGGAAAAAAGGAGCAAACAGGAGCCTAAAACCCCAATTTGCAGCCAGAACCAAGTCGCCCAGGATTGTGGGCTTCGTCCAGAACAGCCACCCGGAGGTAGCCAACAGCAACCCGCCGCAATACCCTTAGCCGTGGTGGCCGTGGTACCAATATGAAAGAGAAAGAAATAGTGAGGGAAATGTATAAAAAAGGAGAAAAAAGATTAAACGGCTCAGCCCTTTTTTTTCCATCATTTATTTTCGTTTCTTCATCAATTTTTTTTTCCATCTCCTGGGTTGCACACGGTGCCTCGTTGCATCGTTTGCTTCCTGGATTTTTGTGATTTGGGATCGGTTTCTTCGCTTCCTGAATCCTTACCCAACTGATGAAGCCTGAAGGCAGTTACATTAGTGTGCACTCAGTGTAGGTGTGGTTGTGTGAGTGTGTGGGTGTGCGTCTGCACTGGTGTACTGGTGTATACGGTTACGAGTTGTTGAGGGCTGAGCCGTTTAGTCTTTTTTTTCTTTTCTTTACTACATTTCCCTCACTATTTCTTTCTCTTTCATATTGGTACCACGGCTAAAGGGTATTGCGGCGGGTTGCTGTTGGCTACCTCCGCGGCTGTTCTGGACGAAACCCACAATCCTGGGCGACTCTGGTTCTTGGCTGCAAATTGGGGCTTTAGGCCCCGTTTGCTTTTTTTCCATCATTTATTTTCGTTTCTTCATCAATTTTTTTTCCATCTCCTGGGTTGTACACGGTGCCTCGTTGCATCGTTTGCTTCCTGGATTTTTGTGATTTGGGATCGGTTTCTTCGCTTCCGGAATCCTTACCGTACTGATGAAGCCTGAAGGCAGTTACATCAGTGTGCACTAGTGTAGGTGTGGTTATGTGAGTGTGTGGGTGTGCGTGTCTGCACTGGTGTACACTGGTGTATACGGTTACGAGTTGTTGAGGGCTGAGCCGTTTAATCTTTTTTCTCCTTTTTTATACATTTCCCTCACTATTTCTTTCTCTTTCATATATTATTTAACTTTATTAGTACTTCCATATATTTTCCTTGGTACTCACACTCCATCTTATACAAGCTATGTTTTATGTCGTGGCCAACTTGTATATACTTATAATGTAATAATAATTACATATATTTATAATGCTATATCTCAGTTTGTTTAAAGCAACACCCATGTATATTATTTCTTTTTTAAATGCAGAATTTAAAAAATAAATCTTTTTTTGTATTTAAAGTGTTTTAAAATATTTTTATCTACATCAGTGAGTTAAGAAGCTCTTAACTCATGCATTTTGAGTTATTTGGCATGGTGTTATTTGAACAAAGGTATTAAGGTAATTGATTTTTAGGATAGGTATGTATAGTATTTTTAATACCCATTTAGAATAACACCATCCTTATTTATTATTAATAAATCAGTTGAAACAAAAAATTACCAACAAAAATGAACGTCGATTATTAATAATTTGTTAGATGTCACGTTTTTGAAGTTACGTTTCATGTTAATGTCATAACGCAAAATAAGATATAAAAATGCTATATTCTGATGAATCCAAAAAACTTATGCTTAATGTAGTAAACTATTTTCAAAACGATTTAGGATCTCGATTTAAGGCAATTCAAAAAGCATCCGAAGCACTAAAAGTCCCAGAATGCACATTATATAATCTAGAAAAACCAAACAGAGCTACAGATTTCGAATTTAGAAGAAATATGTCTGCAAGCGTTTCCCGGAGCAAAATCCGAATTACTAAGAATACCCTACATTGTTTGAGGGAAGTAATTTACAAAATGTATGCGCGAAAGGAAAATCACAGTAGAAACTATTTTCCTGCAATTTATCGAAGAGTCTCCAGAAACTAAGATTTCCAAAAGTTCGTTATATTTGGGAATTAAAAAAATGGGTTTTCATTTCAAAAAACGGGATGGAAGAAAACAGTTATTGGAAATGTCTGGAATCAGATTAAAAAGAATATTATTTTTGAACAAATACTATGCTGCTAAAAGCGAAAAGCTCTTTACACCTGTTTTTCTGTAGAATTTTTACTTAAACGAGCCCTTAAATAAATATTATTACTGCTTGCTCGACTTCTTGTTATATTATTTATTATACTTTTAGTGCTTCAGACGCTTATTGAATTGCCTTAAATCGAGATCCTAAATCGTTTTGAATATAGTTTACTACATTAAGCATAAGTATAAGTTAAGATATTCTTTGGTATAAGCCTTAAATCGAGATCTTAAATAATATAGGTATTTTTAAGAAAACTCGGTATCTAGTTAATAAAACAATATTTTTAAAATTAGTGCGCTTCTTCTATATTTTTTTTATTATGTCAACATCTTTAGAATTTCATAAAATTAATTTTTATTATTATAAACCGCCACTGATAATATGAAATTTCAAGTCACTCCGCCAATGCAATAAGAAATATGTCAAGCATTTGACATGACAAAGGTCATAACCTAATTTTTTTCATGCGGGTGTAGATGGTGCAAGAAGCCGCATACGTTAAGTTACTAAAACGGCTGGTACCTCTAAATAGGTATTAAAAATACTATAGTTAAGTACAATAATTTTAAAATTCACTGTGTTTTTATAGTTAGACGTAGATAAAATATTGTACAATACACGCGAGTTAACTCCATTATGATACTTGTGTGGTTTGGTTTCAGAGGCGTATCTTAATGATGCTGTTAACTCACTCACTTGTATCGTAAATATCTATTAACAGCCTATTATTACTTATAGCCTCTTATAGCTATTTATATCATTCTATTCTATCTTTGACGATTTTTTTTAATCGATTATATTTCTCACGCATTATTTTGTTTTAACTTACCTATAGCAAATCTTACTCTGACCACATCTTGAGTTGGTATATATTCTCTGTTAAAACGAATAGCAAAATAAAAGGTACAACCTCTTCTAAGTATAGGAAAAGCTGCCTCACTATCCAAAATATCGTACATGTCAGTGTGACATTCTGCTGCATTTTCTTTGATGTAAAGTTCAGTACCGACAGGTACAATGGGATCCATGATTCTGTAAAAAAAAATAAACATGAATTTATTTTTATTTTCATAAAATCATTTTATCTATTTGAAAAAAATATAGTATTCCTAAATATAACTCAGTAGATTTTTAGTCAATAAAAAAGAATATATAATGCAGTTATTTTCAGTCTGTTCATACCTATAAATATACATTATGTGATATAAAATATACAAAGGAAGTTTTTGGCAAGCTCTCTAAAAATTTTGCATTCATCAACTATCAACATCGTCTACAATATTTAATGTACGAGAACTGAAGTCATAAAGATACATTGTAATGTTTCTAAAGCTCCCCATATACTTCGGTTATTTTGACCGGTTTTAACCGAATGGGCAAGCCTGTTCAGTTAAAAACGGCAGTGTATGAATGTATTCGGCCCAGTTGTGCCTGTTCGTTCAATATCTGTCTTTACCGAATATTTTAACATTAATTATTTTCTAGCTTCATTATCCATTTATTTATTATTTTTTAGATTACCCAGTTTTATTCATTAATAATTTTTTATTATTTTTCAGATTATCCATTTTTTTGGTCCAAATTGAAATAAAATATTATGTCAAAATTTAGAGAGCTTTGTGCACAAGAATAGTGTATAAATGAAATAAATTTTTAATTTCAAATAATTATAGATATTTAACACTTAAAGCATGACAAAATTAAAAATGTTTTTCACATACACATTAATTATTTATCACCTGCATGAAATAATAAATTGGAGATTTTATCTCTTGTAAAGTGTGCCAATTAATATTTATAGCTGTTATTAACCAGCAACACCTAGATTACACCGAATGCATTACAATTTGTTATCTTCTAATCGAATAGCTTTATGTTGAAAATGGGTTTGATATTTAAACGGAGTAGTTTGTAGTATAACAACTAACAACCCAGTGTCGTTCAACAAAGTTGAAGAGGTAAGATTTTGTCCAATATGTATAAAAATAATTTAAATGAAATAAAGGAACCTGCTTTGTGTTAAAAATATTTTTTATTGTGATTTACCTCGAATTCGCTCGACAGACGAAATATTAGGGAAATTTAAGGAGAATTGATTATGTAAATGACACGCTAAATTTGAAAAAAACCCTACTTACTTTAATAAATGAAATGACAAGAGTGCTGTGGAATTCACGAGTTCCCTGCCTGGAATTCACGAGTAAAAGAGCACAGCAGAGAAAATCTTTATCACTATTCGAAACAATTCAACTATGCTGTTCCGAACTTTAATAAAAGAGAAAGAATTATAAAACAAAAATTGCCCTCATATCAAGGTTTGTAATTTAATACATTCAAAACATGCCATCTTTATTTCATTCAAAATTGAAGAGTCCTTGTTGGTTTAGCTTGTAGCTAGTACTAAGGTCTCTGGTCTCTGGTTTCGAGGCTCAAAGCTAAAATTGAAGGTTTGGTGCAAATATCTTTAGACTATGAGTTATTCTATTCTTTGGTTTTGATTGCTAACTTGTTTGCTAAGATATTCGACATTCGATCGAAAAATGTTAGTATACTCAACAAGGCCCTTATTGTCACACTGAACCAAAAACATCCGCACGAATGGACAGTAAACAATAAAATTGTATTTAGATTACTTTTAAACTGAAATTATTCACATTAATCAATTCCATCAAATACATACACATGTTATATAGTACTTCTGTCAGATCAAGGTAAACAAAATAATATGATTTAGTTAGCATTAGTTAAATAATGAGAAAACATTTAGTTTAAAAGCTATTACTTAACACCTATCATATCTGTTCTTTGTCTGATTTCCCTCTCCCCAGTTTGCGAATAATATTTTAAAAAACAATAATTATTTAAGAAATATGTTAATTTTAAAATAGGCGGATCACCCTAAACCCTATAAAAAATCACATTTTCTCTGACGGATGATAATCAAAGGCCAAAATGACATTCCTCGCAAATTTTGGAGTATACTACCACTAATTTTGACGTTCTGACTGCGTACATTGAAATAAGAGTAACAAAATTCTACTCCAATTAAAACCGCTAATTTATTCCACTAATTTCGATGTCTTCAATGAAACTTATGTTTTGATTATTCAGATTTAATTAGAAGGTTATCAGAAAAAAATACACATAAAGATTCAAAACTCACCGAAAAATATCTAAACGAGCGTAACCAAATGAGCCGATGCCTGATGTCACTGCAACAACTATCACAACAAAAATAAACAAAACACGTGTTGCGCCAATCGTTTTATAGACTGTGACCGGTGGTCGTGACTACGTCACAAGAGTCAGCAGGACCAGCAGAATCAAGCTATATCTGTATCTGATTAAAAACCATCGGGAATTTTGATTTTTCGCCTTGATTTTTACCAGAATTTTGGTGAAACACCAGTAGTTCAATGTTGTTAGCTGTCAAGTTAAATATCTATAATGATTTTTTGTGGTATATTTCGATATTCTAAAAATTAATTGTTCAACGACAGAAAAATAAAAAAAAATTGTATCCGGGTGGTGCGTTGTCGTTGAAAACGTTGGAAATCGTAGGCAAATTTTGAACTATCCGGATATTGGCTCCCCTGATAATTTTACAGTTAAGTGGTAAATAGTTTTTTAAAAAGTCTGCGTATGCTGAATACACATCGCCAAATTTAAATAATTTTGGTTAAGACTATTTTAAGTAATTTAAAAAAAAATGCATATATTTTTAAATTGAAACTGAATAGCTAACTCAAAGTGAAATTTTATCCACCACCCGGTATACATGGTAAACACGAACCCAAAACTTCTCTTGCCGATATTGGTGAATAATAATTCTAGATCATGTAAGTACCTTTATACAGACCGGACCACCGTAGTAGTAACAATAGGCAGAACCGGACGAATTAGCGTATACCCGTCCGCCGGATAAAAAGCAGGCGAAAAAATGCGATAAAATAAAAATAGGTAGATATGTGATAAGAATGTTTCAGAATTTGTATTTATTCGTGTTTTAATAGCCAAAACGAATACATAGATTCTCGCGACAGTTTTCGTGTAAAATTTATTTTTTAAGTAAAATAATGGATGTTTACGAAGTTTGTGAGAAAATTCAAATTGTAAGATGGCTAAAATGGTATTTCCAAAATAGGTCTTATCGGGATATACTAACCATTTTTCCACAAACTGTTGAAGACAGGCCAATTCCATCTTTACTTACTGTATCAAGAGTTATTAATAATTTTGAAACACATGGGTGCGTGTTCCCACAAAAACACAAAAAGCCTGATGTGTTGATTAATGAAGAACAAGAGTTAAAGCAAGTGTTCATTTGTGCTACCGCGGATCAAAATCCCACGTTTTCAAGTAATCAAATTGCTGAGGTGGTTGTCCTGCCCACAATGCCCGTATTGTTCATGAATATTTGAACAACACTTTTCCCAAGCGTTTAATTAGTGGATATGGAACTATTTTGTGGCACGCTAGATCACCAGATCTTTCTTCCAATGACTTATTTTTGTATATAATAGTTATGTAAAATCTAAAGTGTATGGTCATAATAGGGCCAATAATCTGGATGAGCTTCAAGTAAAAATACGAGAGGCTTTCCAAACTTTAGCCCTAATATGTTAGCCAATGTCAGACGGGGATTTTACGACCGCCTAGGCTTCTGTCTAGCACAAGAAGATGGTCTTTTTGAACACTTGTTATAACTTTTTTTTATTTAGAGTAATATTTTAGTTTTTTGGGGTTTAGAGAACTTACTTATTTTTAGTTTTGGCTTGTAAACACACTCAAATAATAAATATTTAAGTATTTTCATTTTAAATGTTACCTTAAGTGAAGGTAAACACTTAAAATGAAAATAATAAATACTCGGCACTCCTCGAGTCGTATTCCTAGTCAGTCATGACCGACCCGTCCAAGCACAACTGCAACTGCGTACTGCCTGATCAGCTGACTAGCCGGCAGTGAATCTCGAGCATGAACTCAAAACGGGTAAACGTAAATTCGTCCGGCAACTTGCTATGTTACTAGTAGCCTGGTCTTCTCTGTATATGTAGGACCTATGGTAATATGATAGATATTGCAATATGATTTATTTGTGCACATAAAATTGTTAAATCTCTTTTAAATCTATATTTTCTTTCATATCTTAGTTATTTATGCACATAGAAAGAATTCAAACTATTCAGACATAAATATGGATCAAAGAATTCCTATTTTATATAATTATACCTGCTACAGTGTTATACAAAGCAAATATATCAAATTCTTGACAGGTTTTCCATCATTACGCTTTAATTTTGTTATCTCTTATTTTACACTATAAACAGAATGCTTTATGAATACAAATTAGTGCCTGTTTGAATAGTTTAAATCAGACATTTTAATAATTTATGTATTATTTATAATCTCCTGAATTGGCATATAAACATGATAGGAAAATAACAACAATTCTGTTTAAAAATAAAGCTGGATATCTGTGATAATTTATAAAAAAAACACATAGAATTTTGTTTTAAACGTGTAATAATATATAACCTAGTTTTGTATCTCCCTGTATATACTATGCAATATGACGAATACCATTAGTCTTGGTAAAAACGTTATTATATTATACTAATTCCAATTAAAAATATGAATATTTATTCCATAATTATTATTTTGAGAGCAAGAAAAAAAACACACATTTTGTTATTGAAATTATATTATATCAAGAGATTTTTCTTTGTAAAAAATATAGTTAATTAAAATATCGAACAAAAAGTTTTAGAGCGCACATTTTTATAACATATATCCCTGTATATCCTATTTGTTTTAACAAAATTATTTGACTTAATTTTTTTATTTGTAAAATCTGTATCTTGGCCACTAAGCAAAAAAATATCTACTGAATTTAATAGTCTAAAAATAGCTCTACAAGTAAAATGTTAATTCAGAATCATCGCCAATACTATAAGAGATCAATCAACAATGTATAAGGACTTCTGACGAACTGTTGCAAAATTTATGAGTAAGAGAAGATCCTTATTAGCCCAGAGGACTTCTAGGAAATCGAATTTTATATCATAGGTAAGTATAAAATTACTATTTCTATTATACTTACAGAAAAAAATGTTGTTTCTAAATCAAGAATATGGTATGGTATGAATAGGGTAACTCAAAACACTATTTTTTTGTATACAACAAGTTTCATAGGATTTCTCGTTTATGAGTAGAGATACAAAGATGCGGTTTTCACAACATTGCTTATTTTATGAATCTAAGTATCTAAATAAAGATGCTACACACAGATTTGAACTAGCCCTCTTAGTCCCTGAAATACAGGGGAAATTTAAAAATGTTGCAACCCCAAGTCTATTTTATTTGATATAAGAAGAGGTCTACTATAAGCTGTATTGAATAACTTCTGAGACATCAAATTCTGAGATCACAAATATATCCATTCTGTATTTCTTAAATATGAACACCAAAGGAAATGAAATAAATAAAATGTATATTTGGAATTTCATTATAACTGAGAAATACATACTATTCTTGTGACTAGTGAATTTCTCTCATGTGTCATTCATACAAAAATTTATTTTTAGAGTTATGATAGGTTTCTAGGTAAATAGACATTTATCGTATTTCATTTTTACCGTTAAATCTGCTATTGTATTATTTTTAATTTTAATTGGTGAATTTATGAATCAAAATAAAAGATATAAGCCTGTAAGCATTTTATAATAAAGCATGTAGGTATACTGGGTGCGTCTCAAAAGTGGCTCACTCCTATAACTTTCTTTTATTTTTTCATTTAAAAAAACGAGATTTGGTATGTCAGTACATGACATAAATTAGGATTGATTGACATATTCAATTATTGTTTTCGGTCACTTCCGGTTTCACCGGAAATGACTACGACTTTTGATTTTTAAAAGGCACCCTCGGTATTTTTTTACTTTATTCGATAGAAAATATATATAGATTGACATACTATATGTCATTTTTTGAATAGAATGACATATAATATGACAATCTTTGACATTTTCGCATATGGTTTATTTGAAATTATAACTTGCGTTCGTAACGAAAATTTGACTCGAAATACCAAGTGTGTGGTATCAAATTATTCGTAAAAAACGCTTTTTCCAAATGTGCTAATGAGCCACCCTCGTTCCATTTGAAAAAATTGAGATAAGATTAAAAATACGATTTGGGCATTTTCTAACTAGACACTAAAAATATTAGACGATCAAATATATTTTTCAAAGGTTTCTTGATTAAGAATTAGTATTTTTAACATAGCCATGGCACCCTAAATTGAATTTTTGTTATTAAAGTACGATTTTTTAGTAAGCGAGAATGTCAAAAGTTGACATATTATATGTAATTATATTGAGAATGTCATTTTCTATTAAATAAAGTAAAATATACCGAGGGTGCCATTTATAAATCAAAAGTTCTGGTCATTTCCGATGAAACAGGAAGTGACCAAAAACAATTGAATACGTCAATCAATCCTAATTTATGTCATATACATACCAAATCTCGTTTTTTTTTATCTGAAAAAGTAAAAAAGTTATAGGGGTGAGTCACTTTTGAGACGCACCCGGTATATCCGTCAGATTTTTGAAGCACCCTGTATACTCAAGAATAAGTTTAATTTGTGAATCTACGTATTCCTTAAAAATTTTCTACTTAACATTATTTGTTCGAAATTCTCAAAGCAATAGGGGTAATAACTTTAATAAACTTTATCGTTGACTCACCCTGTACCTAAGTTATTCAAATCAGAGATACTTTGTATTAAAAGATCTCAAAATAAGTGGTATTTGAGTTTAGGGGTCCGTTTTTTGTACCTATAATAAATAGGTACCATGACAATTGTACGTTACCATGGCAACCAAATGTTCTATCCACACAAACACCTCCAGTTTAGTCTATCTGTCAAATTTTAAAAAAAGAAACATGTTCAGAATAAAAAATAAGTTTTTCTAGGTTTAGTTGAACAAAAATAAAGATGGTTGTTCTAGATATTTATAGTAGAAATGTGAAAATACAATATAAGGCATTTTTGTTGTCAAAAGCCACATTGGTAACGCTGGTTTTTGATTTTATTTCCATAGCTTTGCCTTTCATTATTTGCTACAATACAGGTGGTGAGTTTTTTATATGTTTTAAAGACTAAATGAGATATAAAATTTTATTAATATTACCATTTTTATGAGAGTGAGGGTATAAACTTGATTGATTATAACAAATTCTACATTTCGCAGCTTACCAGCTGAAATGAAATAATTGAAAAATATGAGTAATCGGAAATTTCCATGAATTCTTACTACATATGGATTTTCTGAAGCATTGACCTTAATTTGGACATTTGTGGTACCGTCTAGTCGTGGTTTTGGTTCGTCTTGCAACCTTGATCTTATTTTAAATTCCATATATTTGTCTATAGAGAAAACATAATGAAAGTGAATAATCTACATTTGTAGTTGTAGTAAAATTCTATAAAATATATCTTTGTATAACATTATTTTTTCTTAATGATATATATTTTTTTAATTTCAATCCCCATTTTTCTGTATAGAATTGAATTTAACATAAAATTCAGCATAATATAGTACAGGGTGGCTCGAATTCGACGCTCATCATTGGGATTTCGGAAACCGTAAAAGATACAGGATCGGTTAAATGGAGGCAAAGTTGCGCAATTTGATGCTCAATAAAATGCCGTATTGCATTTTGAAAAATTCCGAATACTTCCGAATATATTCGAAAAAAAACGGCATTTTCAATTTTGTTTTCTATTGTCCTGGCTTTGTTAAGATAACTTAAAATGAAAAACACATTTTCGTGGTCACTTGTTCTGCTCTATAACTCTGTGTGATTAAATATAGACTCTGAGGTTTCGGCTTCTGGCGACCATCATGAACTTAATTTTTTTAAATACGGACCTGATTTTTTTTCAATTTAATTAAATCCTTTCATCACTCTTAAAACACTATATATAGTCACTTTGATATTTGCTGACGTTTCGTACATAAAATTCCATCACCAGAATATTTTATGCAAAAAAAAATAAAAAGGCAATACAGCATCCTTTTTATATGAAACGCTATTTCATATTTACTAAAACTTTGGTTTAAAAAAATGCTTAAAAACTGTAGTTATTTTAACTATATTAGTACTTAGCTAAATTTTCTTAAAAACCAAAAATAACAGAATAAATAAGAAAAGAAAAGGTCAGCATTATTTTATACAGGACATTTTTTAAGGCGTCGCCAACATCGCAATATTTAAAATACTATATATCATTTTGTTTTAAATACACCTATCTGTATATTACATTTCTGTTAAATGCAGAATTAAAAAATGAACATTTTTTGTATTTAAAGTGTTCCTAAATTTTTAACAGTTTCGCAAATATTTACGGTTTTGTATTTCATATGGTATTTTCAACAGTAAACGTTTATCAAAGCCACCTAATTATTTTTGTCTGGTATTTTACTTTATTCTAGGTTTCTGGATGAAACAGGATGTAGTATACGCATATCCGGAAGTTAAATTTAAAGGACACTATTTGCTTGTGGTTACATTCGATGACGATACCATAAATCCAATAATTTGTGGTTCCTTTTCGAACTACAAGAGATATTTGAAGGAACTTGACACCTGCCATACCATACAAGTGAGAATATATTTTGTTGTAGCTATTTCTGCATATTTTTTTTATTTAGAACAGTTTTATCGAGAATATAAATTTATAATAATCTTTTTAAACAGAATTTTTTTTTTCAGATTAGAGAAATAGACGAAAATGATGATGGAAAACCTTACAAACTCGAAACGACATTCAAAAGCAACATTGCCAAAAATTCAGTCATTTCTTCCGTAAATTTGATGCTTCCAGTAAAATTTAAATTTGGTGTAAGCATTTTACAAAAAAATATAATAGTTTTAAAAAATATTTTTTTTTAGAATCCATGTCCTAGTGTCATAGAAAATACTATTTTATATCAGAATTTATATAGCAAGAGGAATTCCGATATAAAAGTTTATGCAGATATGCAACTGTATCAGCATGACTTGGTAAAGTGTCCAAAATATGGAATGACTCATTACAACTATAGTATAATTCATGAAGGGATGAGTAATGAAGAATATAAATTGGAGAAAATTCTTGAAAAATATTCGGATACTAAAAATATTTGTATGTATAAATTTTATACAAGAAGAGTATAAAAAGAGATATAATATATTTTACTGTTTGCTACAAGGAATGAAGAGTGAAATATATTATTATACTTCCTTAAATTTTACAATAATTTTAATTTCTCTATATGTTTTACTGCTTTGAAATTATTTTTTTACAATTATGATTTTTTTTCTTGACAAAATGGTGAAGGTATTTTTTAAATATCTGAATAATTTTATAATTAATTTAGGACAGGTCTAAAAATACAAGTATTTAGTTTTTTTAGAAAATAATTAAATTACCTCATCCAAAAATAATAATTATATTAAACCAGTTGCCAACCAAAATAATAAACAAAGTATACAGTATGTCCTCGGGTTGTCTTTACAAGAGGAAAAACTTTTTTCTTATTGACATTTTGAGAAAAATGCATTCTTTATTTTCTAAAATGGTTAATCTCCTTTTTACTTTTTGAAATTTCCATACCGTTTTAGAGAAAATAAAAAAAACATGAAAATGTAGCTGAATTTTTCAAAGTCCTATAAATCAAAACGCGTTTCTATGGTAATACAGGGTGTCCCAGAAATAACTGCAACTATTTTAAGGGGTGGTAGATCTCGATAAAGAAACTTATCTTCTCTTTATCGTTTTTCAAATAAGTCTAAAATAAAATTATTTTACTTTAAAAATTTTCAAAAAAAAAGATTTTTTGCTAAAATTTTGAGAACCATGCACTGGATCTTTGCTGGATTTTCTTTCTTGTAAATTTAATCTACTACCTATGTTGACATATTATCAAGAATTTTTTTTTTAAATAAAAATTAACAAAATTTTCAAAAAAGTTTTCAAAAAATTCCGTATTTTCAAAGTTTTTTTTTCGGGAAAAAAACCCTGTATAATTTCGTTTTTATTCTATGATAGATTATTATTGACGGAATTTTAATTAACGTCATATTTTTGGCTGTTTTAAAATGCTAAAGAAGCACAAAATTTATTTAGTTCAATAGCTACGATGCGATGGAAAGGGTGATGATAGTTACCAGAAAATGTGATATTTTAACATCAAAAATATGACTTTAATCAAAATTAATAATAACGTGTATGAAATCGAATTATATTACCATAGAAACGCTTTTTAATTTTTAGGACTTAGGAATAATTCAACTACATTTTCTCTAAAATGGTATGAAATTTGGATAAGTTTAAACGGAACAAGGAACAAGCGAAAATTTTTATGAAGAATGCATTTTTCTCAAAATGTCAATAATAAAGAAGTGATTCCCCTTTTAAAGACAAACCGTGGACATTCTCTAAACACCTTGTAAATTCCAATTTTATTTTTTGTTAGTAATTTGCATTACAAAATGGTGAAGGAACTTTTTAAAAATTTATTACGTATATTTTTTTAATTAAATACTAATACACACACCGGAAAAATCTAGGGATATCATTTTATTAAAGTTAAAAATAAATGTTTTGAATAAACAATCACATATTTGTAGGCCGATTCTTTCTACTTCGATTGAAACGAAGTAGTCACACTAGTTATTTCTAAAGTTGGGATATTTGCAGAAGTGTTTGTGCATTTTTTGTCAAATGTATAAAAAGCACCTACTATCAATTGTTCGAATTTAACCTGTACTGGCTATGTTTTTATGATAACTGGCCAGAATTCATGCAAATAACTCTGTTTAGTATTAAACGACATTATGGAGCGTAGACATCTTAACAGAGACGAAATGCTAAGGGCCATGAGTATGCTCGAAGCTGGAATGCGCCAAATCGACGTAGCTAGAGCATTAAATACAACACAAAGTGTAATATCGCGATTAAGTGCACGCTACCGTGAAAGTGGTGATGTTGCTGAAAGGCACACAGGGCGATATCGCATTACTACCCCTCAGCAAGATCATTTTTTACAATTAAATGCTCGACGCCGACCGACTCTTACAGCACCAGAGCTTAGTTTAATTCTCCAGGAAACATATAATGTAACCGTTAGTCCTGACACTGTTCGCAATAGATTAAGAGAGGTCAACTTAAGAAGCAGACGCCCCTGGAGAGCTCAACCCTTAACGAGAGGAAATCGAGAGGTACAATATTTGTGGGCTCAAGATCATGTTCAGTGGTCGAATGAACATTGGGCCAATGTTCTCTTCACGGATGAGTCACGCTTTGGATTACATCCGGATTCGAGAAGGCTTAGGGTATGGAGAGAACCGGGAAATCTTATTCGGTTGGATCATGTTCAGGAAGTGCACCCTTATCAAGGTGGAACAGTTATGGTCTGGGGAGCAGTCCAATTAGGCCGAAAAACCGATCTCGTTTTTCTTGAAAGGTTTCTAACAGGAATCACATATCGTGATTTAATTCTTGAGCCTGTCGTGTTACCATATGCCAATGATTTTGGGAGAAACTTCATTCCCATGCATGACAATGCACGGCCTCATACAGCCAGAGTGGTAAGTGAGTTTATCAATGCTCATCAATTAAACATCTTACCCTGGCCGGCACAATCTCCTGACCTCAACCCCATCAAGCACGTATGGGACGCGGTCCAAAGAAGAATTTTGAGAATGGGTATGCCTCGTGAAACTCGTAGGGATCTGGTTCGGGCCGTGAATGCAGCGTGGCAGGCTGTACTTCAAGAAGAGATCGACAACCTGATCCGGAGCATGGAGAGACGATGTAGGGCTGTAATGATCAGTAGAGGAGGCCATACCCTTTATTAAGTAAAAATGATTTTATCTTTTTTTTTAATTCACAGTTTAGAATAAAAAAAAATGTGTATTTTTTTGAGTTCAAAAAAATCAAGTTAAATTTTAAAAATTCGGTAAATTTCGCATTTTTATTTCCAATACGTCCTGTAAACTATTTGTTTATTTTAATTTTATTATATCAGAAATGCAAATAATAAAATAACTGACGATGGCTGGATAAAATTGTAATATCCCTAGACTTTTCCGGTGTGTATTTCACTATTTTTCTTTAAAATTTCCTTCACCATTTTGTGTACAAAATATATCTACATTTTATATCCAAAAATGAAACTCATAAAAAACTTAATTTTATTTATTTTCAGTCAAAACAACATTGGTAAACACAATAACATCGTATATTCCAACAAAAGACGACGTATTTACAATCAGTCTTACAGTGAACTATCCAGAACAGAAAATACACCACAAACCGAGGTTCTGGCACATAATAAAAACAGCCTGGATCCAGTTTCTCGCCCTGTATATTCTCACTGCCTGGATCACAAACAAAATAAAATCCTACATATTCAACAATAATTTAGTGTTGTTATACAAACAGAAAAATAAATAAAGTATTCTTAAAAATGTTAAAGTGTGTTTTTTAATATAAATATAAACTTAAAAACTAAATTCCAGGGAAGATGATAAATTTGGAGACTTATATCTGTTATCTTCTATAATTATTACATTTTTGAGCATGTCATTCACTTCAACAAATAGAAATCTGTATTCATATTTGCCTGAATCGTTCTAAAAATATATAAAAAAAAACATTTAAAACTGTAGTTTAAAATTTAAAAAAAAACATACCTCAACCATATCTAAATGAGCAGTACCAGAATGTGCAGTACCTTTCAAATAAAACTTCATTCTGATATGTTCTTTACCCTCTTTATCATGATATATTGCATGAGAAACATGTTGTCTTCTGCCTAAAATAATAAAATAACATACATATAGAGAATACAGTATGTATCTATTTAAAATAATATTGGGGTCAACTTTCGTTTAGCTGAAATCAGTTATTAGAAAAAAAAAATTTGTCTTTAAAAAGCTACTGTGAACCACGGAAACACAAATTTTCCTGCGGAAATGCGTAATTTCCAAATTTCGCACTTTAGAATAACTGAAATCTGCTATAAAAAAAATACATTTTGCGTTTTATTTTTAACATTTTCTGAACATATAAACACAAAAATTTTCCTGCGGAAATAAGCTGTTTTCATTTTCTAAGTAAATTTATTAGACTTTAGAATAGCTGAAATCAGTTATATAAAAAATAAATATATTTTTGCCTTTTAGAAGCATTCACAAATTGAGGAAAATAAAAATTTTCCTGCGGAAATAAATTGTATCCATTTTCTGAGGAAATTTAATAGACTTTAGAATAGCTGAAATCAGTTATATAAAAAATAAATCTATTTTTGCCTTTTAGAAGCGTTTACAAACTCACGAAAATAAAAAATTTCCTGCGAAAATGCTTGATTTTGATTTTCCATTTTTGTAAGCATAAATACATAAAAAATTATCTTTTTATCACTTTTGAACCAAAAAAAAAATAATTTATGTGTCCAAAATGCTAACCAATCTAACAATAAATCTAATAATATTTTACAATATCACAATTAAATATTAAAATATAAAAACCACAGCTTAACACCCTCCACCATCCCTCCATAAAGAAAAGCTAACCAAAGCAACCCAAACGCTAACCAATCTAATATTTTTGCAAACTGACAGTTACTTATTAAAATCAGAGAATAGGTACATTAAAATATAAAAGAAAACTGCAGGATCCAATTATGTTTTGTTTTGAATCAGCCCTATTTACATAAAGCTTTAATAAAAAAACAAGAATAAGTGCAACATTCCGAGGTACTTATAGTTTACAAGAACCTAGTGGAACCTATATTATCTATTCTACAAGAATTGTTATTCCTCCGAAAAATGTTTTACCCCACCCAGCACCCCTATTCGCTCCCGGGTCCCTTAAGCCTCTGCTGATGGCTGGGAAACTTAAATGGAAATGACAGTTCATTAAAAATAGTTTTTCCTCCAAGATGCAGAGGCGCAAAATATTAAAACTGTCAATATTGACAATGCAAATGTCAATATCTGACAATAATAAAATTTGATTTTTAACTGTCACTCAGAGACGCTTTTGTTGTGATTTTACGATTTGATTTCGTTTTGATTTGTCGAATTATTGTAAAATTAAATTCCTTCAGATTTTTTGCCAGTATTCTGTTTTAGACAATGTTTTTTTTTAAATGGTTGGACAATTTGTGTTTTGTAATAACTCTTAATTATTTTTTTATAATGGAGTTTAATTGTTGTACACCTGGTTTCCGAAGGATACAATGGTAAGTAAATTAAACATATCTACTTACAGTTATAGATTTTTTAAATTAGTACTGCTAATAAATGCTACTTGCAGAGCAGTTATTTAATTTTTTTACGGTGCATGTAAGGAATTAAGGACGCGCGTTTTATATTAGCATGATCAGCAGATGATTACATCTGATTTAATTTGTTTTTATTATTTCAGGTCTCAAACGGAAACAAACTGGGAATCTTGCCTACACCAAAATTATATAGCCCTTTCCAATTCAGTTCAAAGGGAGGAAAATTATGTAAAACTGCCTGCTATTTGCTGAAAACCGCCAAAGATTAAATTATAACTGTAACAACTTAATATATACTATTTCTAGTCTTTTTAATATATTTTTTAATTAATATCCGACATATAAGAACACTTTGTATGCTTTTAATTCAGTTGATTTATCGTTTATAATATGTTCGACCTAATTAAAAGCACACAAAGTGTTCTTACATGTATGTGTATGTCTAAATTTATTTTAAATTAACTAAAACAACCCCTCTTCCCCGCACCCCTCTCTTCAATTAGTATTTCTTCCTCCATCTACCAGAGGCGCCCTTGTGTAATAAAATTGAAATGTATTATAAGTTGCCTATCTATTTAATAGTATAAGTCTTTTATCTATGCCTCTGCTTAAGCTTCTAAACTGAAAAATGTATGAAAAACAAAGTGCACAAAATGACATTGACAATGTGTCAATGTCATTTTGTGTATTATGTCCGCTGATGTCCGCAGTGTGTCCGCAGTTTTTGTATTTCTTTGCTCGTAAAGGCTCGTATAAAACAAATATAAGTTCATTTTTCATGTAACTGATTTCGGCTATTCTAAAGTCAAAGCATTTTTTTATGTAAAATAAAAATAAAAAATTTCCGCAGACACTTTTTTGTGTTTTTATGTTTAGAAAAATGTCTAAAACACACCCCGAAGACTAGTTTTGATGTAACAGATTTCGGCAATACTAAAGCACCAGAAGCGACAAAGAGCTTTGAATAGCATTGGTCAAATGGGAACTAATTGCGTGACGTCACGTTTGACATCCGTGCGCCTTGAACAGCATTGCACACTGAAAGAAAATTGTTAGATTTTAATAGAAAATGATGAACGGCAGGTTTATTTAATTTTTAAAAACTAGAGGATTTAAATCAGTGTTTTTATTTAGAATTAAAAAAAATAAATAAATAATTATGAAATATATTTTTTAGTCTTTTATGCATAATATCTAGAAATAATTATACCTGCGGTCGTGAATTTTTTTTTGGTGTATAATTCTTTGACGTCACGTTTGACAGTTAACCAGCATTACCCCCTCCTAAAAATTTTGAAGCAAATCTCTTTGTCGCTTCTGTATGGTGTATATTTTGTGACTAAAGTCCGAAAAATGAAAATGACGCATTTCCGCAGGAAAATTTTTGTATATTTTTACTCCTAACGTCTTCTAGAACGCATATATAAAGTTATTTTTTATATAACAGATTTCAGCTAAACTAAAGTTGAGCATGAGTTGAGCCTAATATTGAAGTTAATAGTTAAGCTTTTTTGACATACTATACACAATTTATTTGTTAAATAATAAATAACAATTAGAAATATCGTTATTAGTTTATTTCTTCATTTCTTGTACTAAAAAAAGTATTTCTTGACACATGATTGAAAATAAAATGGTATGGTTTGGTTTTTGAAAAAATGTTATACCACAGATAACACATAATTATGTGTTATCTGTGGTTATACTTTAAATTAATATATATAAACAGAAAACCTTCAGAAGTCACTACTTCATAATATATGTATATTTACGCGTCTATAAACATAGAAATCAATATAAAAAACTCTTTAAAAACTTACCTCTTCTTGTTTCTTCACCGTAAGTCGTTATAGGATAACCTAACTTATCTTCTACCTGTGTATTTTCAATACATTTCTTAGCTGCCTTCGAATAAACATTATTGGGGCTCTTGCTCGAGAATAACTCGCCAAATACTGCGTAAAATAATGTACCGGTTATACCTACACCTAATAAAATTATACCTAAATACGAAACGGTTTTAGTGGCTTCCTTAACTTTTTCTATAGGTTTAACGTTAGTGTCTAGTTCAGTGTTTGCACTATCTGTAGATGTTGTTAGACCACTGCTTCTCGTGCTTTTGAATCTTTTGTAAATTCCGCTGTACAGTAGTGGTGAGCATTTTCTCACTTGAGGTGAAATATTAAGAATAAGTCTCATTGGTACCATTTTTGGAAGATTATTTAAAAAGTGTGCCCTTAAAATGACCTATTTTAACATAACGTGACTATTTTTACGTATAAAAATCTGGAAAATATTTGTAAACAAACATTTAAAAATATTTTTGACACTAGCACATAACCTTATTCCTTCTTCTTCTTCTTGACAAATTTATAGGCTTTTAGAAATCATAAAAAAATATATAGAACGAGTGAGAACGGGTAACAAAGTTAAAATTTTGTTGTGCCATCTATTGTTGAGATTGGGTAGTTTTATTAATAACTGATTTTCTGCAACCAAACATACACATAAAAAAACATAATTAGTGTTATTAAGTTCAAAAATCTTCTGTAAATTTGAGAGGGCACTAAATACAGCAAAAATGTCACAAAAATTGAATTAAATATTTAAAAAAGGTTATTTATGAACCTTAACTAGCTTCTTTTATTTAAATAAATATAAAAAGAGGGCACTCTTATTAATATAGTTGATAATTTTAGTATATATTAGCCTGGTTTAATAAAGAACACATATTTAAAAGGGTATTAGTAAACTCAAATTAAAAATCTCTTAAAATATATGTTTATTCTTAAGTTGGTACAGTCAAATTCCTTATTTATTATACAATATACAATTAAATCTATTTCAGTATTATTTTATTAGCTATATGTATATACAGGGTGAATCAAAGTGATGTTGTCGATCACTATAAAAAACATAAAATAATTTTTTCTTGTATATTGTGCATAACATCGATCAATAATTTTATTATTGCTATTGGAATCGAACCACCCTGTATTTTACTCTCATTCAATATTAAGTTTCAGTACCTTTATCACTTGCAATATATTAACTAAAAACTATATCATATATCGAAATTAATGCTAAATTATTTCGAATGTGAGAAATTTGAGCAATTTTCTTTAAATAGCCCTATTGTATAGTGCAACAAACTTAATTGATTTGACATCACGAGTTAGGCAACCAACGAAACGCCAAATCCTAAACATACTGATAACTTATTATGATTTAGTGTAATATTAGTTGCACAACCAGTCATATTTTCACTATTAGGCCTTATTTTACATTGTACTTAACTATAGAGAGCCTTTTTAATTTTTTTATACGATATTTCATTAAAAAATATACGTATATATTATATCTTAAGCTTTTTTGTAAAAATAAAGAATTAAGTTTTTAGGCCTTATTGTTACGTTCATTTAAAGGTAAAGCTTCCGGTTCCTCTTTAGCAGGTGGATCTTTGCTGAAAAGCAGCCTGTAGATCAGGGCTGCTACGAAACTACCGAGCAGGGGTCCCAGCCAGTAAACCTACATAGAAAAAGAGAGTGAAGTTAAGGAGGTTGTCATTGTCAATAACTTATATTGATTTAACTTAATTTGACTTTTGGTTATCACTCGTCAAAACTAAGTAAAAAAATATATAGTTACCCAGTGATTATCCCAGTCTCCATTGAACAATGCTGGAGCCAGACTTCTCACAGGATTCATATTAGCACCAGTGTATGGACCCTAAAAAATTACAAAATATACAGGGTGGCCCATCGAAAACGTTCCGCGAAGCATAACAGCCAGGGTATTTTTTTTTCGAAAAATCCAGAAACACGTCAATTTTGTTTGTGAGGGGGACAACTTTTGCCCCAAAAATGATTGCAAAATCTTCAACCCTCTAAGCGGAGGTGTCATCCCCCAACTTTTTTTAAATGGGAAAGGGGGGTCAAAGGTGGCGTCGCAATGAAAAGGGCTTTCTATTCTCTATATTTCCCCGCTTCGTTTTTAAAAATCGGTCGAGTCATTTTGAAAATATGAAAGACTAAAATTTGAAAAGTACTTTTTTGCAAAAAACGCATAAATTGAATTAATTAAAAAAAACTTATCTTATTAATGAAGAAAATGCTGAAAATGTTGCCCGTCAACCTCCATACAGTAATACAAATTATTTTCAACCCGTTCTAGAACATTCTGAAGAACTTGCGGGGTTACTTCGCAACAAACATCAATAATTCATCTTCGCAGGTCTTCTAATGAGGCGGGTGGAGTGCTATACACTTTACTTTTTATGTGTCCCCATAGAAAAAAGTTTAAAGGAGTCAAGTCGGGTGACCGGGGAGGCCACTCAATTGCACCTCTTCGCCCTATCCACCGAACGGGAAAGTTATTGTTTAAATAATTACGCACATTTTGAGGGTAATGTGGAGGTGCACCGTCTTGTTGAAATATTAGTTCCGCTTCAACGTATCCAGGATTGTTCTCTATGATGTCAGTTAGGGCTGGGTCGATGGTATTTTCCAGTAAATCCAAGTACATATCACCTGTTAGATTTCCAGGAAGAAAAAAAGGACTCACAACAGAATTTCTAAAAATACCAGCTCACACGTTCAATTTCTTAGGATTTTGTGTGTGCACCTCGTGAAAAACCCTGGGGTTGTCCTCAGCCCAGTACCGACAGTTGTGACGATTAATTACACCTTTCAAAAAGAAAGTACACTCTACCTAACCCAAGCGTTCATCCTTGTGGCAAGTGAAAAAATGCGTAAACATATAGAAATAATAAGAAAAAACAGCAAATTGGTCGAAAGAATTTATCCTTATCATTTACTCTGATAAATGTTTAAATAAACTTTTCAAATTTCAATCCTTCATATTTTCTCAATGGCTTGACCAATTTTCAAAAACGAAGCGGGAAAATATAGAGAATAGAAAGCCCTTTTCAATGCGGTACCACTTGACCCCTCTTCCCATTTGAAAAAAATTGAAGGATGTCACCCCCGCTTAGAGAGTTGAAGATTTTGCAATCATTTTTGGGGCAAAAATTGTCCCCCTCACAAACAAAATTGACGTGTTTTTGAATTTTCTGAAAAAAAATTACCCTGGCCGTTATGCCTTGCGGAACGTTTTCGATGGGCCACCCTGTATATACACATTATGCACAATCTATATCATTTTTGACAGTAACTACAATTTATATACTTACAGCTGCCATTGCTAGGACAGCAATGGTAAATCCAAACCGTATGGTCACCGAGTCATGCTTGTCGCTGTTTCTGGAATCCCAGACAGCACAGCATACCCACGACAAGATCCCTGTGATGAGGAATTCGACCAGAAATCCTTGGAAGGGGGATATGTTAGGGTTTACCCCCGGGGAACATACTCCGGGAATGATATGCGTACTATTATCCGGGAGAATGTAGTTTGAAGGTGTAACAGCCTAGAAATCATAAAAAGCGTAAAAATATTTACTGGCAGACTTTGCAGTCAAACATTGTTCTTTTTAGAACCTATTTTAGTGCAAAGTGTACAAGATAGCTTAATAGCCGTAAAAAACTCATCGCAACTTTATCAGAATATTTTGAACGGGAAAGCGGTAGTAATGAAGAAGGTGAGTTTTGTTGATGTAAATATAACTGTATATATATATTTATAATAAATTTATTTTTGTTCCCTAAAATATTTTGATTACAAGAAAATATATAAAAGTTGGCAACGCTGTACCGGTCAAGCTTAATCACGTGACTAAAGCTTATTTGGTATGAATTGTGTATTAAATATGGACAGTACCTTTAGTAATGCAAATCCTGTCAAGGCTCCAAAAAGCTGTCCAAAAAAGTAGATAAATACTTGAACGACGGATATATTACCTAGTACAAAGGCAGCTACTGTTACTATTGGGTTGATATGAGCCCCTGATATGTGTCCAAATACCTAAAGAAACATAATATCACATTTTAATATACTGAGGAAGTCGCCTATTAGAGGTCAACACTAGCAATAATTAATAACGGAAAAATATAAAAAAAATCACTCACTTGGACAGCCATCATCACAGCCAAACCGAAGGTCCAAGATATCTGCTCGTGAGGCACCACTCCGCTTTTTGTAATTCCACTCACACAGCCCATACAACCGATGAAGAGGAGGATAGCCGTACCTCCTAGCTCGCCGAAGAATAGTACCACCCTATCCGACCAGCTCATGTCATCGGTGATCTGTATTTTTTTACCTGAAATGAAACAAAATAAATCAATACTTAGACGCATTTAGACGAGCCAAGTCACTTTCGAGTCAAGGCACAGAGTACAGCACTCCTTTCATTTCATTTAATAAAATAAGTAAGGCTCTTGTAGTTACGAAACAAAGCACAATCGGACATATGTCGATATGAAAAGTAAATATTATTTTTACGTGAGAAATCTCTCTACGAGAGACGGGATGCACCTGTTTTATGAAACACCCTGTATAATAATATTGTTGAGGTTAAAAATAGGAACAAAATGATATATTGAAGACCGATACAGTGTACGTTTAAATTAAACAGACAGTACTTACGCTAATGTAATATAAATTTAACTTACATGCATCGGAGGGAATTTTGAATCTAAATATTTAATAATTACCTAAGCCTTTAATAACCTTAAGTGTATTTAAATAAATTCCCTCGTGTATATGCATTGTATTTTTTTGCCTCATGTGATTCCCATAGCAACCTAATGGATTTTTTTTTAATTTTTCATATGGTTTATTTGAAATTATAACTTGCGGTTCGTAATGAAAATTTGACTCGAAATACCAAGTGTGTGGTATCAAATTATTCGTAAAAAGATACTTTTTCCAAATATGTTAATGAGCCACCCTCGTTCCATTTAAAAAAATTCAGATATGATTATAAATACGATTTGAGCATTTTCTAACTGGCCAGGACAAGACACTAAAAACATTAGACGATCAAATCTGTTTTCCAAGGCTCCTTGATGAAGAATTAGTGTCTTTACATAGCCATGGCACTCTAGATTGAATTTTAAAATACAATTTTCTATTAAGCGAGAATGTCAAAAGTTGACATATGATATGTCATTCTATTCAGAATGTTATTTTCTATCGAATAAAGTAAAAAAATACCGACGGTGCCATTTAAAAATCAAAAGTTGTAGTAATTTCCGGTGAAACAGGAAGTGACCAAAAACAATTGAATACACCAATCAATCCTAATTTATGTCATATACTAACATACCAAATCTCGTTTTTTTATTTGAAAAAATAAAAAAGTTATAGGGGGTGAGCCACTTTTGAGACGCACCCGGTATAGTAGCGTATACTTCCTAGAATAAAAAAACTTGGGAATTTTGTTTAAGTGCAAACCTAAAGTATGTACCAGGATATATTTCAGGAAATATTTTAACTTCAATAGGGTGGCTCAAAAAAGCGTGAGTGGATCAGGATGATTTTTTTTAAATAGAACACCCTGTATATTATTGCATTTTTGGCTTCCTTTCATACCACTTTACACAATCCTAAGATATTAGTAAATTTATTTCAATAGTTTCAGAGATATTAATAAATAAATAAATAAAATATATTTTTAAGCCTTTCTTGAAAAAATTGTTACAAATACAAGAGCTGTCCAGAAATCAAAACTATATCAGGTATATACTTTACATGGTCTATACTTACTTTGCTATAAATATCGTAATCTTAAATCATATAGGGTGTTCAAAATTCTACGACAAACTTTCTAAAATATAAAATAATTTTTTTGTTTTTTTTTTAAATGGAACACTCTGTATGTTATTTTTTCAATAGACGGAGAATTAAAAAATAAACATTTTTTGTATTTAGAGTATTTCAAAATGTTTAAAGGTTTCGCAGATACTCGGGGTATTACTTCATATATGGCTCTTTCAAGGGTAAAATACGAGAAAAAAAAAATCACTGGGTGGCTTTGATCAAAATTTACTGTGGAATATGTCATATGAAAATATGAAATATAAATCCGCAAATATCTGCAAAACCAAGGGTAAAAATGATACATGAACTACTAGTAGTACATTTTTTTTTCTGATTAAATTTAATTTTGTTTAGTAATTTTATTTTCGTGCATTGCTACTGATTTTTACTACTCTATCAACAAATAGTCAAGGCTGTCGGCATACCTAGATTATATACACATGTATTTCCATAAATTTCACGTTCACAGGTATATAATTATATATGTCGCCGTTTGGGTACTAGTAATTTCAAGCTAATATATTTTTCAGTTCAATAATAATTTTCTAAAATAGATATAATATATGTGTCCTACAAAAATCGACAATGCATTACCATATTTTGTATTATTTCCTGTAAATCTAGATAAGGTGTGAAAAATGTATATACGAGGTGTCCTCAAAATAACGTCGAATATTTCACAGACCGATGTTCAGAGATATTTATGTTGTATATCATAAAAAATAGATACACCAAAATTAAATTTAAAAAATATCAAAATACAAGATGAGCGGCATTGGGCATATTTGAACTTCTCGAAGGTTATCATAGCGGATGCCTGTATATTGGGTTAAGGTTTATCAATGAATATTTTTATTTTCAACAGAGCTCTATGACGTCTTCGATATTTAGTTAGAATCTTTATGACATACAAGATAAAAAACAATATACCTAATTAATTTGACATATATATTTACATTGCTATACAACGTGACTATATAATATAAATCACTTTGGACTTCCAGTAGTGATTTAACTTCAAAAATTCTATTTTAAAATGCACCTATGTTGTTTATTTGCCTATATAACAGTATTTTTTAATGTCTATACATTTTCTATGGTCTATATACCTTTGTGAAGTGTGTTAGAGGTCCTGTAAATTGTGCTCTATTATCTTATAGTCGAAGGTTTGCTTAACATTAGGATCATTTAATCTGAGTTAATAAGAATACGAAAATTATTCATTATTCAATAAGAAACCGTTGTAGAGATTAGCTGTTGCTATTAAAACACTTATTTTCTAAACAATATTATTATTAGAGAGATCCCTTACATCAGAAGTGAGATATTTTAGTGTAGTTTACCAATCAATTGGATTTTCCAAGTTCTCCTACCGGCGTACTTAAGTATTTCAGCTGTTATTCCGTCGTTCCCTGCTGCTTTTCCATTTTTTTATTTTCATCATGTGTGTTTTCTGTGGCTTTATATAGGTCGCTGTAGATTTTTTTACCAGGCTTATTATTTCGTTTTTGTCTGTTTTACGGATGGTGTTAATGCGATTAGTTGCTCCTTTCCGATCAAGAGAGATTTCTTAGTGTTCTTATAACTTTTTCTGTGTTGAATTGCAGTGTGCAAAAGTTTTTCATTGTAGTTTTTGATGGTCTGCCCTCTTTCGTATTGTTTTACATAATTCTGTCTATTCTATTTTATGTATGTTGCTCTAGGTTTTCATTTCTTTTTTTGAGTATTAATGAAATATAATATAGACTATATGGAAGAAATGTATATGGAAGAAACACTTTTTCTTCTTGCGGGGCCGTGTCTGTCTTCAGGCGTTGGCGATCTCCATGATTATTTGGTTGAAGAGTTCTCTATTTTTTGCTGCATGAAACAGCCTCTCCACCCCCAGACCGGTCCACTTCTACCTTCTTCGACTTTTCCTTTAATGATCAGAAAAAAGAAACAGTCATATTCAAACCTAGAATGCGACTTTATCTAAAACAGAAAACATTCGACCAATGTGTTTCATAATATGGTGCACACGCACTCATTCCATTTTCATATTTATTAATCATATCATAATATATTTTTTCCATCTGCCTAAGTTTTTGATAAGTTTCATGAAATGATTCATAAAATTCTTGATGAATACATTTTACCGCACTAATAAGTTCAATATTCTCACTGTACATTTTTCACTTTAAAACAAAATATAGTTTTTTAAAAATTTTGGAGCATGATATTGACGAAGAGGTCTATGTTTTCTTGATATTGTGCTCCCAACTTCTCCGGGTTCTGGTAACTTGCCTTTAAATCTTCGCAGCAACTGATCTCTAGCGTCGTCCAAGTGGAACCTCCCGAACACCTTTAAAATTTCTAGTATTACTTCTGAATTCTTCGTTACTCTCAGGTATGGAACAATGTGTGTTAGTTCACTTGCAAAATATGTATGTCCCAATGCACGTATGAATTCGTAAAGATTAATACTTTGTAACAGAAAATCAGTACAAAACTCTGTTATTCTACGACAATCTTGTTTGAGAGGAAAAAATAAATCTTTTTGATTAATTAAAAGTATTTGATGATAAATAGTTTCACAAAAATTAGTATATTTTTGAATCAGCTTTCTAACAACATTAGCTATTTTTTTTTATCGTATTGCATCACTCTCTCGATTAATAAAAGGTATTAATTTTATTTTCTTCTAAAGATCTACCTTGCTAACTATATATGACTAGGTAGAGATAAAGTGGGGTTAAAAGTAGTGAGGATAAAAGTAATGAGAATTAACGTATATTTGAATCGCATATTATATTGGTGGTGGAAGGAGGAGGAGGAACTCTCATATATTATTTACTATGGCATGAAATGTGCTGGGAGTAACCAGAAAAGACCGTAAGAGAATAGAGTGGAGACGACAAAAGACCCAGGTAATAGATGTCCATCCACAGAATCAAATCCCTCAAATAGCAATGGACGACGGACAGCAGATAGACCATAAAAATTACAGCATGATACCCCCGAGGAATTAAAATACCTAGAAAAAGACCAAATCTGAGATGGGACCATCATATTAGAAAATTAGCAGGGATAACTTGGGCCCGCATAGCCATCAAAGAGAGTATCTATATATATGAGGTGTACCCTCCACCATAATTGGAAATGGTTGAATAAGCTGAGGATGATGATGAATGGACTATGAAAATTACATAATTGTAAATATCTAATCTAGAAATAAAGAATAAAACATAATTCTGACTTTATAAATAATCTGGCAAACTTTACCTACACCTGACGTCACACAAAGTCTTGGACGTGCATTTGATATACTATGTTTTGCATTTACTTTAAATACAATCGTACATTAGACTCTATCTACGTCAGAGTCAGTATACTATAAACAAAATCGTACCTTATTCTTTACGTCAATGTTTTATTAAAAGACTAAAAAACATATAAACAGACTTAAACCTTTTAATGTTAGGCAATATTTGACTTTGCCCCTCGTTTACATGTTCC